GAATAACAGATAAGTATTAGATGGGCAAATGCGTACACATTTAGATATACCTACCTACGACGTACATTTTAATGGCAAAATTGTAAATTAGTTTATTTTGATTCGGACCAATATAAGACCTTCATAAGAATACCTAACAAATGTTTGAGTAGTTGGGTTAAGTATTAAAATTTCCAAAAGATTTTCTAACTTTACTAAGTTAGAAAAATATTTTAACACACTTTAAGATTCAGGGTCGGGTCTTTTACCCGTGGCCTTAGTATCAAGATGGAACAAAGAAAGAACATTGACTTATCGTAAATCTGAAATTAAGAATGAGGTGTCGAATAATATAGATTTATGAAGTTTATAATTGCAATTAAAGAAAATGTGTGTGAATTAAATTCTTTCCCCGTAACATTTTCAGATTAAAGTTGTTCTTAGTTATCTTTTGTAGAATTTGTTGCTGTAGGTGGGGGAATATTATTGTTTACCGTGTTAAGAGGAGGCCACCGCCATAGCTCTATTAGTACGGCATTTACGGCCTTCTGCCAGGACACGTGACTTCTCCTGATTCGTTAGCCCGCCACGTGTCGCACGTGATTCTCGAAGTTTGTCAACAACATTAAACACTTACCAATCTTCTAGAGCCTACACGAAAGTTTCAAAACATAATCACGTAATTGACATAATCATTATGACTTTACGATGCAGTAGGTAGGAGTAAGTAAGTATTTATCTTTCGGTTTTATTTACTACTTGACTTGATTATCAGTTGTGTAGTCTACTGCTGGACGGTAGCGTCTCATAGAGCGCCAAGAGATGTTCCGTTATTTTCAGCTACTTCATGACAAACCAATCCTACACTAAAATTAGCCGAGACGTCGTTTTTACTAGAGAACCCGTTTACTTTGCCTTTGCTGACGGCCATACGGTAAGGTCTAAACATTGAAACCTCAAAATTTGGTTTTCCTAATTCCATTATTGTTGCATGACATTGGTTAGCAAGGAAATGAAACATACAGCTCCCACCGCAGTCAGCCCGGGATCAGACAGGGTCAGAGGGCAGCTGAACGGTTATTTCAATCACTTACTTGTTTCTAATGAGCCCTTGTTTATTATAACATGCTAATAACTAAACAAAACAATATGGCCTTGTCACGCTTTAGATTATACCCATCAATCAAAACGTTAATGTTAGCATATTTTGTCTGTGCAAATTATCAAAATAAAATTAGGACAAGACTAGCTATCATACTTACATACACTTATAAATGATTCATTTGGATTGGTTCACATAGTTAACATTAAAAACAATGGATATTGTTTATTTAACTATTAAGTTATTAACTATACAATAGACAGATAAAGTCAATTATACTTAGATTGGGGTAATTAAATGGTTTGCATAGAAGTTTATATTTTTAGCCTACAGCATTACAGTACAGTCTAATCAGTTACAGTCTAAATCAGCATTGTCCAAATCAGTGTCATTAGTTATAACAGTTATATTCCACTTCCAAAGTAAACATGAGTTCAATAATAGAAGAAATGATACAACAAAACAAAAATAACAAATTAAATATTTGTGTATTAATTATCACTAAAATCCAAATATTTGTCTAATAATCACACGTTATTTATTTAAATATGTATGACAGTTTAAGTAGGTACCAACTGTTCCTACTAGTTACTACCACTTATCTAATAAAACCTGTACTAATTAATGTTCTAAGGATAATAGATAAACCTGAGTAATGCAAAAAACTACCTCCGTGGTTTTTTTATTTATTTATAGAGTGGTTGATGTTAAAATGCGCGTAATGATAGCGCATTTATAGAACGCGATAGTGGAAATAGACGTCTATAAATAGAGCGAGATTCCCAAACACGTCTGGAGGCGCCAGCCGGAGCGCCAGGCTCGACAGCTTTCAACGCTATCGCCTCCAATTAAATTGTGAAACAGACAGCAGCGATAACGGAAGCATTTGTAAACAACGTTAGATGAGATGAGCGTGACCCGATTTTCCTCAGAGGGTCACAATATTCGGTTGTTGCTAACCCGCACGTTAGTTCGGTCGCTCCTCTCGTAACGCGTTTGAAGCAAATGTAGAAATTTGGGTTGCGAGATTTCAGGGACAAAATTTTCCTTGGCTTTATCTTATCAAATCCTGGTTTCATATCGCATTTTTATACCATCTGCTAAACTCTAAAAATCTATTTTTACATTGTCTAAAAGGCATGAATCAAACTAAGTTTTAAACTTACTTAAAGTACGGAACCATTTTTTCTGTAACTAAAGAAAAATAAATTAATAAGCCACTACTAAATCTATATATATAAAAGAAAGTCGTGTTAGTTACTTCGCTTATAACTCAAGAACGGCTGAACCGATTTAGCTGAAAATTGTCCGGGAGGTAGTTTAGAGCCAGGAGAAGGACATAGGATACTTTTTATCCCGTTCGAAATTAAAAAAAAGTCTGCTTATTTATTGCCATTAAGGCGGAACAAAGTTTGCCGGGTCAGCTAGTTAGGTATAAAATAGACGAAGCGACTCTATCTAACAGAAAACGATTTCACATTGTCCACAAGCCAGGCCTTTTCGCCTTTATTGCGTCTGTCGTAGCCCTAGCGCAGGTCATAAGACAGGGAACAATAATAACAAACCGTTACAATAACAGTTTACTCACATGTCGATCGCCTCTTTACCCGAGCGATTACCTCTAAAATTAATTACTCCAGACATTCCACCGAGTGTTTCTCGACAGGCGACACAATTACACCGCTATTAATTCTCATTAGCAAGGACTCCATCCGTCAATAAATTGTCACCTTGTTTGTAAATAGCTACGCTATATTGAGCTACAAATTATTGCAAAGAATCTGGTATTAATAGCTAGGAGTCAGTGACTCGGCCGCACAGCCGCCTGGCAGACGAGCCTGTCGTTGAACCCCCGGGAGCTCCATCCCCTGGCAACGTGGTGTCCGCGGCCGCACGCTGTTAACGACCCATTACATTGCACGACCTGTTCCAATCGCACAATCCTATCTCGGCTTACACCTTTTGACGTTCCCGACCGAATTACATATTATTAACACACTCATATTACGAACTCATCTGTCGGAGCTTACAAAATTGTAATCATTTTTGTCCATACTATAAATAAGTTATCAGATATTACGCCAAGACTGTATTTGCCTTTATGCATTAATTAAGCTATCGATATTGTATAAGGATATGAATGCAATAGTTAGCAGACACCGTCATATAGGGTGTAAGGTAGAGGCGACAGCATTTAGTGTGGTTACATTGCTTTCATTATGAAAACCATATAATTTTCAGCGGAAAATTCTGAAAATTGAATTAGTAATTAAAATTTTCTTTTTATATAAACTACGATATAGGATTTCTGGGATGTATCAAAAGCAAAAGGATAATCACAGAATAGATTTAAACAAACCGCATACTTACTGAAATTATATCTTCTCTGAAATTATAATTAAATTTAAGTTTTCCCTTAGCGGCCCATTGCTTTAAACAAACTTTTCCTTAATTGATTGCGTGCGACCGCTTTCTACCCAGTCGAAAGCTGAAAAGGTAAATTGGTTCATTGTATGTTCTTCACTCTATTTCTACCTGTATTTTTATTTAATATGTAAATCTAGTAATCTAATCTCTCACAATTTGATATACATAATAAAGTGATTAAAACCACCACAAAATCCAACGACACAGCTATTTCAGGATATACTTATCTTCACTAAACTTTTAATTCTCTTGTTTACATTACGAATAACTTGATTAAATCAATTAATATAATTAAATTAATTTGTACATGTCAAGAATTGAGATAACCCGGCTAATTAAACCCACTGAAGACTCAGCTGTGTGCCTAATTATGAACAACATAAGACAACATAAAAAGTAAACTTTCATGAACTTCAACAGTCAACACACATCATGTTACATTCTATAAAACTAATATAAAGTGAAAAAACTAGGCCATTTGGAAAGGATAAAGGGCAAATTGCAGCCGAAAGAAAAATTCTAGACGACGATTCTGAAGTCGCTGTAAAACAAGCTGAAGAAATTAACAATAACATTTTCTGTAATTAAAACTATCCAAAAATAGTAATTTGGATACGGAATCCTAAAAATAATTAAATTATCTATGTAGATTAAAAGACATCAAGTAGGTTTCAACTACATTATAAGTATTTATCTCTCCTTAGAGATTTCCTATCTCTTTTATTTTAGGAAATGACTATCTTCTTCTCATTTATGGGCTTCGTATCTCACAAGGAGCAAAAAGTTTAAGTTGATAATGCGAGATTTTGCACATGTTTTTGTGCCTAACATTTGTTTTTGTGCCTAACAGCCTATTGGTCCCGCGACTTGGTATCCTTTAAAACCGTTCTCGTAACTTTTTTAACTATTTGGATTAATTTTCGGTTAGATCTTTATGCATTTTAATAAATGGGCGCAACTTTTTAAAGCTCCGAACACAATCGCCTTCGTGATTAAGTAAGAATTGAATTTGAGATATTTTAAAGTGGGATGTAGGATGTGAATCAATATAAGTAATTGTTTTATTTACAAGGGAAATAGTTACGTAAAAATAATTTAAATGTATATTATCTGAAATAGGTATATGAAAAATAGTGTCAAGCGGAAGTTCAGCTAGAGGTAGAGAGCTCTGGAATTATCGCTCATGCGTGCGACTTTTAAAACTTTCGAGATTTTTTTCTCCTTTGAACGCAAGATTTATACGTCATATAGGACCGGAGCTTGTTTGTAGATGTTAGGGTCAAAACCGCGAGCGCACTGATGTCCATGAACTGTATACAAGGCCATATGACATTGGATGAAACAAAGTTAGGGTATACTTGGAATAAGTTTTGAATGATTTTTGGCAATATTCAGCGGGGCGGAGCGCGGCGCGGGGCGTGGCGGCTGCGTGCGCGCCGCCCATCGTGCAATATAAGGCAGCGCACCGCACGCGGCGCCGAAGCGTGCGCAGCGCCGGCGGTCGGAGCGCATATCGCGTGTTGTTTGGTCGCGGTTTGCTGCGAGATCACCGAGATCTCGGTCTCCAGTCTGGCGAGTGCGAGAATCGACACGCTCTCCACGGCGACCAACATACGCCGTCAACTTTGTTTACCATTTAATTCGACAGGTGAGCTGTTTTCCTTATTTACCTATATTGCGAAAAAGTTTGTGATTTGGGTGGTCGACTGTAAATAGTTGTTTATGTGGTTTGCTCCTGTAAGAATTGCAATTTCATTTCATTTATAGATGAGAGACAGAAGAAAGAATGCTAATTTATGTAACTATTTTTCTAACGGTTTACCTTAATACCAAAACAGAGCAAGAGATGATTACTTCGTGGAATCTCAATGATCCACTTACTGAACTCGGCAGAGTGACGCAGGTAGCATATAGGATCCCATTAAAACTTCGCTACGCATAAGTGATCCGAGGGCACGCATAAATGATAATGAAACACTCAAGTAATCACTAAAATTTACTCTGCCCCTTGATCATAGTTCGATCGATCACCATCTAAACATTAAACAAGTTAACTTAATTGACAGATTTATTTCTAGAACGTCCCTATATGATTTCCACTAGGTCAGGAAAACCGAAAACCTTGTCTTCGCTGCAGATTACCTTCTTTTATTCAGAAATCTTAAATGTATTAAGAGGAAGTTAACGTTTATTAACTTGTTTCTAAAATCAGACAGGATCTTGTCCTTAAAAGCCTACATATTTGTTAGTTTCATCTAATTCAAAAACTCTTACTCTAACTACACTACTACCTGCGCCAGTAGGCCTACCTTAAACTCGTTACTGTGTAGTCGCTTTAATATTAAATGAAATAAATTAATTCTAAACTAACGTGATAAAATTAGCACAATTAGTAGGTGACTAAAACCTCTACCAGTTGCTACCTAATCACTCGCACCCGACGCGATATCACATCATTAGCTTAGTAACACGTTGTACAATTAACATTAGATCTCGTATTATACTTACACAGTTATATATTTAAATTTAATGAAATCAAAATTGTATAAGCAGCGTCTACATGTGCTCTACCTGCAGACACCACATTGTATTATTTTTGCCACAACCTGTTTTTAAAACGAATCAACGCAAAGCCTAACCCTTAATAAGGCCTAATTCGAGCGGGAGTTTAAAAGAGCGTTGCAATAATAAAAGCGCAGTTTTTTTACCACTTAAACTTGACACGCTGCGCGCTCAGAGTTCTAAAAGCTCCGAAATTTTCATCGCTAGTTAACTTTTAACCAAAGAATACCTAAGTATGACATTTTGACAGAAGTACATATTTAAATTATAACAAAGTTGATTATTCGTATAGGTTAATAGATAAATGGGTATTTAATAAGAGTCTCTATCGCTCTATTGAAATATACCATAAAATAGATAAATAAAGTAAAGGCTCATGATCAGTTTGTTAAAATGCGAAATACGTCATGGTGTTCCATTTATTCCTACGGTTGGATTGAACCAATTGATATAAATGCAACTAAGTAGTGTAACTAAGTAATGCAACTTAAACAAATAAAAATCACTACAGCAGACGTGCCAAGAAGTGCACTCACGTGGCTCGTGTAAAGTTTACAACAAATCTAAACAAGCTAGCTTGAGTTAACTATAATCGTCGAGTAAGAAAAGATATAAACCAACTGGCTCTAAATAGAAATCATCATAACTTTAAGTGGGATTTATCTCGCTAACTATAATGATTTTCTCGTGCGGCTTTTATTGCTATGGCATATGAGACTGTAGTCAGCCATCGTAAAAGGTAGATACAATTATAAACCATTCTCGCTGCAAATTCCGAGAAATGTGTTCAAAAACCAGTGTGCTTTTACCACCAGGTTTTACAGCGCCGAGCGGCTCTGTGCATAAATCTGTTTAATAGCTATAGCTTATAAAGCTGCGAATGAGCATGGGTCTTAAATACTACAGCTTACAATGTAAACGTTGAAGTAGCAGTTACTTGCGAATACAATAGAATTACGACCGACGCATGAGTGAGTGTAGGTAGACATGTTTGGTTTCAACAGTTCGGCGTTTGAACTTTGAAAGGTCAAGTTATAAATTGGGGTCGAAATCGGTCATTGTACGATTACTGACAGACACCTGTGGGGTCCAGATCCATTTAAGGTCTAGCCTAGATACAACTTACCTTTAAAGTGCTTTGGTGTGCTTTTATGGAGAGAAAATAATTGCTAATGGTGAAAATGGGATAATTGCACTAATTGCGTGTTACTCGTATTATACTCGTAGCTGCTGCTATGATTTTATTTGCAAATAAAATTTTAATACTAAGTTAATTTAGTCAAAAATAATATTTATGCGCCTATACATTCTGTGAGCCAGCGTAAATCTATCAAGGCGTAAATAGATGCCGCAGGTAGAGCATATGCCTTGAATTCTAATGATTTATTAATGATGCATTCATTAAAACGGCCCATAGTAACTAAGGCATGTTAGATTAAAGGCGATTTTTTAATCGTTAAGCTGTGGAATTTTAATAATTTTATTTATGAAAAATATGTTCATAATAAGAAAAATGATTTAAAAGCACATGAAAAATTTGATAATGATTGACATTACAACGCTTTTCTCATACACGCGAGTAACCTAACTTACTATCTCACACAGGTTTTGACCTAGAACTCTGTAAAAATGAGACAGAACTGGCTCGCGATACTGCACGACACGTGTACGCAATATTTACAACAATTCTTATCGAATATTTATTAAGGATACCTGTGGCTGTCTGTATGTTTGTTGTCTTTTGAATTTTTTCGTGATAATAATAAAGTTCTTCTTTTCTTTTCCTTCTTTCTAATTGTTGAATAAACTGCACCTTAACTACAGCAAGTGTCCGAATGACTGAGTCCTAATGACACTAACAGCCGCGATAGTTGTAAGGTGTACCTACGTCTGGAGCCAGTGACCGCGCACCAATTGGAGGAGCCGCCGATACACTTGACCTCGCAACACTTTTCATTTATCTTTTGTTACCTTCGTCTGCCGCCATCGTCTGTGGCTAATCTCATTCATATACTCACGTGTCAATTATAGGAATTATAGGAAATACCATCATTAGCTACACAAACTTATCCCAGTACCTACTCAGTAAATTTTCAACAATTCAGAACGACGAACGAACGATCTATTTCAATAATTATCTACCAAACCAAAAATACACCTAAAACCAAATATACGATACAAATGTAGGTATTTATGACATTCATCTTAGCAAGTAAGTAGGTACCTAATAGGTACCTATTAAAGTTATTATACACATTTTTATCTTAAACATTGCTAATGAAACCTATTGTTGGTAAATAATGATTCTAAACTATAAATAATGACTGCTCACTTCGAAGTTTTAACTTATCACAAACTAAATAGAGATATACTCGTAAGTAAATTTAGTCACCTACGTAAATTTTCTAATTAGAATAACATCCGTCTTGAAATTGGAGGTTAACAACTTTTATGTTTACCCGAAGTTTCAAACGTGCCATAAGTACTCGTAGAGGTAACGGGTGAAATTAAAGTTCCCTTGAAAGTTTGAACTGTCTGAAAAAAAATTGCTACGAAATTGTAGAACATTTTTTTTAGAACCTTCACGAACCAGCTATGTATAAACTGTGCTTTCATAGGCTTATATGCAGATCAATTAGACCAAAGAGCCCGAACGTATAGCCTCCATATTAGCTAGGCTTTTAATCTTGCGCGATCGGAGAGAAGTATAATTGGTGTCCTTTAGAGTATGCGCACACCGTTGATTTTTAGTTGGCCGATAGTTGTGCCCGATTTCAAATTGTATGAAGAATCGGCCAAATCGAATCGGCGTAGTGTGCGCACTCCCATACATGCCCATACTGATCAACAGCCCGACTAAACTATCGGCCGACGAAAAATCAACGGTGTGCGCCTACTCTTAAACTCTAAAGTACTTATAGGCGAATTTTCCGTAAAAAGGTGATTTCAATTCTACGGCACGGTAATACTATCTATACAGTATTCCAACTCGGCCATATTTTTGAAATAAATGTCAACAGCCCCGCTATACGTCACGGTATGACAACATGCGATAGGGCTGCTCACCTACAGTACCCATTCTAATTACATCTGTCTACTTAGAATTTCTATCTAGTTTTGTGATTGTAATTTTTATTTTATTTAGACAAACAAAATACTTTGTGAATGGAATAGGATAAAAATGCGTGTTATTTTGTGATTAGTAGATTTAATTTTAAAAAATATACTAAAATAATTTTTGAATCTACTAATCATAATGAGTACTTAATGACCTGTTACTTTAATTTCAGGCGGGCGAAGTCGTGGGCCAAAGCTGGTTTTATACAATATAATTTTCATTTCATCACTAGTTATTGACAAATTTGACCGTTTAAGACGGTCAGTCAAATTCAATCACCTTAGTCATTTTCAACACTAGGCCATCGACGTCCGTTCGACACATTCGCGACACCCCTAACTTTTGGATCTCGACCGCGTCCCGAGATTTGAAATTCGAAGGAAAGCTCGCGTTTTGTCGGTTTATATTTTTTTTTTATGCATAACAATGCAGGTATTTGACCACAATCGCACCTGATGTTAAGTGGGATGCAGTCTAGGATGGTACATATCTGCCCTGTAAGTGCTTATTCACTCTCGCCTTGAAGAGGCCCGGATTATAGTTTTCGGGAAAGACAGCAGCAGGCATACATGAAGTTACAATACTGTATGATATTATTACCGTGTCTACGGTGACTGAGAACCGCGATGTATTAGTTTGTAGTTATACGCACCTACATACTATTAGGATATCCACCCGTAACATCTACCCGCATTGTTAGAGAAAAATATTAACTACTACCATTATGTCAATGTGCACTTTCATTATTAGATATTCTTTCAAAAATTCAATCTTCGTTATTCTTTAGAACAAAAAAAATGGTAACTTGATACCTGCATTTCTCTAAATTCATATAATCGAAGCCATAAAACAAAATACTTGTTAGTTTTGAAAAGGCAGCTTTTTATTCTGGACCGTCTGTCAAGGTGAAATGAATGGTATAGTCTGCGCGGGAGTCGGATCTCAGAAATGTTTTGGTTTATTTTGCAATCCGAAACTACGAGGAACGGGGAGGTCTCGCATAAAATACCGTAACTAGCGTGGCAACCTGTTTAGGTAACTGAACCCACTAAAAATAGGTTTACTTATGGCGAACTAAAAATTAACGAGATATTTTCTCTTAATTTCTATTTTCATAATCAATAAGTAAAAGGTTTATGTTTGCATGTTTGAAAAAATGGCATACTTACAAACAAGGAGATTAATTAAGCTTAGCTGTACAGGTAATTGTTTCACTATCACTACCAACAGAACTATGAGGTATTTTCAATTATTGAAATATAAAAGTTACACTTGTTGTAGAGACGCTCTACTTTACTAGTCTACTGAAAGTGTGGGCGGGGCCAATATTAAATGCAAGGAAATAATAAAAAATTTAAATTTTATTTGTCTACAATTGATAATTTCCTAAACTAGGCATTATAAACCTAGTCCAACAATTTATTTGAATTAAAAAAAGTCCTTTGTTAACTATTTCGTAGCGTCATCAGCATGACTGATGTAGAGTTTTAAGAACACCTAAATATGCTATGTCGCATAGGCCGCTTTATATTACTCCTATTCCTTTGAAGATGATTAAATATTTAGTACGATTCAATAATTATTTTAAATTTTATTTGTCTACAATTGATAATTTCCTAAACTAGGCATTATAAACCTAGTCCAACAATTTATTTGAATTAAAAAAAGTCCTTTGTTAACTATTTCGTAGCGTCATCAGCATGACTGATGTAGAGTTTTAAGAACACCTAAATATGCTATGTCGCATAGGCCGCTTTATATTACTCCTATTCCTTTGAAGATGATTAAATATTTAGTACGATTCAATAATTATATAAGGGCTAAGGACCTAACAGCCGAGTCTTACAACATCTCCGGTGTTGTTCACTTGGGTCACAAACACGCTCAGCTGGTACAATATACTAGCAAAGAGTAGCAAGGCTGCAGCTCCAGTCAGATTCACGTAATTATTCAATAGAGTGCACGAGCACCGAGACTGAGAGCGGCAAGGGGCAGGCAGCAGGTGGGGGGAGCAAGAGCGCGGGCGCACGCGCCCTGCGTGTGACCGATGGACTGCGACTACCGCGCATTTAAGGCGGCTACAAACGTAGCGTTTTTAATGCGTACTAGGTGCTACACGCGACATAATATGCCGCTAGGTCAATGTCATGTCATAAAAAGGCAAGAGAAGCGGTTAACTCTCGATTACGCGTGCCGCGTGGGTTCAACGCAAAGTCGCAGACCCATCGACCTTCCCCCTAATTAGGTCGCACAATCACGCCTGAATAAACATGTAGTAAAACTTTCTGTTATCAGAGTTTAACATTCATTAAATTGTATTTTTATTTGTTAATATTTTTAATCATTCTTTCTTGTTACAACTTTGCTATAGCAACCGCATCGCATTGTACCTAGGTAAATTACTTATGTATGTATCTTAAAGACATATAAAGCTAATAATTTTCTGTCTTGTCTTGTCAGTAGTAAATTTTGGTTCATTTTCGACTAATCGTTTCCCAATTCATCCATTTCTATGCATTTTCTTAATGTGGAATGCCAGCGAAGAAAAATCGCATGGTTTGTTACTACCCTTACTCGCATCAGTTCATCATGCTCAACAACAAAACAACACTGTGATGATACTCTGGTTAATCTCAGGTTAGAAATGAATAAGTTATTATGTAATCCTTGGATATTAGAATTTAACAAACTAAAAAAAAAGGTACAAGTATTTGACGTTAGACATGGTAATTGAAATAAAACACCCGATTATTGCATAAATTCCCATAAGCTCTACCTACGTAAAATGCATATTCCTACTAAGTACCTAGTAACGCTACGCAAATCAGGTACAGCGTTAGGTATGGTAATTTTTAACCGATTGACTTAATTAACTGTTCATATTAATTTCAGGATAAATATAGACTCTTTTAATTGTCAGAAACCACAAATGCCAATCGCATTCCAACAAGATTCTACCCGCAGTGGGATGACTCTATAATTGTTCTTGGTTACTTCGCATAGCAACATAATGTAGGTAATTGCAACAAGTTGCGTAAAATGTTCTATGTTTATGATTCAATATCACTCCGTGCTCAAAATTTTATCTAATATCTGAAATTATTCTCGAAGTAGGAACGATATAAAATAATTTTCGAATTTTAATAAATATTTATGCGACACACATATTTTGTGCTATCCTTTTACGTAGTCAAGCTTGATTACGGGTTTAAATTGCTTCCAACGGTATACCTACCGGTGAGCATAATGTTGATCTACTTAAGCACGTTGCAAGCACGCATTTGTATCCAATCCTTCGGCTATAAATAACTCGAGAGACCTCTGAGCGAATTATGTATTAGAAACAGTCATTACACCAACATGTTAACGTATCGAATGATGTAGCACCCAACCTGTACTATTCTTGGAATGGCACTTAACGAAAGGAAGAAGCTGATTTGCATTTTTATGAACAAGGAAGGTGAAGTCATCTTCATTTAGGTGGGCCATTGAAAGAGTTATATTTATCGTCGCCATTTACTGAAAATAAATTCATGATCGCTAGTAAATAAGAAGCTTGATTTATTTTGGACACTTGACCAACCAAACCCTGACAGCATGCAGGAAAAGTTGATAGTAGGCACAATAATTTCCTTTTGAATATTGACAACCGGAACTAAAACGTTTATTACAGTCATTCAAAGTCCATGAATAACAAATGCAATCAATCACCGATAGAAATTTGATATCCGATGAACTTTCACAAATCTCATATTCGATAAAAGTGCATTTCAATAAAGACGATGCACTTAGGATATTAGAATAGTGGATTCAAGGGAACCAAGGGTATACGGGGCGTTGCCGGTGTCAGGTTACACTTACCCTTTGTATAAAAGCCAGGAGCGCTCAGGTTACAAACACTGTGTGACCGGCATTGCGCAAAAAGCGATACTCTACAATGGTGTTCATCGTAGGCTGGTTTCAGAACACAGGTATTTTAGATAATAATTATTGAAATCGTACACCGAACTAAGTAGCTATAAATGTGATTTCTATTATCCTTATCCGCATATAATGTAACCAACCGCGCTATAAATAGTTTCTTAAATACCCCTAACTCACGTTAATTGCCTTATTGTTCAATATGTAACCTACTTTGTACGTATTGTTATGATTGTGATCGTTTCTCGGATACATTTTTAAATTAAACAATGAATGAAATCCTGCAACATAAGTGAATTCAACTCAAGTTATTGTTATGTTTTTTCCGCGCCGCACCACGCAGGATATTATGATCTCGTTTAAGTCGGCGTTCGCATGGTCGGTTGTTAATTTCGTATTCGTTAACTTTAATAACAATCGGCTGTTCTATAAATAAAACATTTGGTACTACCCTGATCTTTTGGCGCAAAAAATTGGTATTACCTACAAGGGATTCCGAGAATTTTAAAAATTAGTTTTATTTTTAAAAGACAATGCCGGAAATTGGCGTCTTTTTTTTTCGCGCGGCCATCGACCAAACCATGTTTTTTAGATACAAAATAGTGTAATAAACCAAACTTACTATGACATGTATACCACTAAACTCAGTCTGAACTGAGTTACGAGCATTAGAAGTTTGATGATTTACATACTAGATTTGCTTTTTGCGCGCAAGTTTTGTAAGAAATTGTAACACTATTTTGTAGTCAAAAAACAAAGTTTGGTCGATGGCCGCGCGAAAAAAAAATAGACGCCACCTTCCATACAAAATCTGGCATTGCCATTTCGGCGAGCTCTTTTGGGATTTATTTTGGAGCATTATTATTTTTTGAACCGCTTCTGATAACACTCTTAAAAATTGTATGACGTAGGTATCTACTCGTATAAAAGGCGGCATATCTGTGGCGTCTGATGTATATCTAATAGTATGATTGTTTAGTAATCAGCATACAGGAATTATGAAAGAACACAAAAGTCCAAAGCTCACGTCATTTACCTACGTTTAAAAATTTCTTAAACTTCTTTTTTAAAAGTTTCCCACAATGCCCATTTACAGTTCCGCTATTTTAATTTTTTTTAAACTGTATAATCATATAGGGGTGTCTTTCGCAGGAGTCATGTTGGTGAACAGAGGCATTCAGATAGCCATAGTAGCAGCGCTGTTGTGGCAGGCGCGGACCGACGCCGCCTCCGCCGCGGTCAAGTTCTGCGGAAGACAGCTCGGCGAAATCATGAGCAGAGTTTGCCACGCGTACAATAGTCCCTCGTGGGACATACCCACAGGTATGTAATTTTTTTTAAAAGGATATTTGTAATTTATTGGTTAATTTCTGCAATAGCACAAATTAAACCTTCGTGGTAAGCTAAATATGCTTGTGTTATGAGTGGGTTCACCACAATAGTCAAGCGGCGCCACGGCGGCGCGGTCATTGCTAGGTATACAGGGTGTAAGGAATTGGATGACAATCACTTAAATAGATAACTTTGTTATCTGTCTGCCACTTTGCACTGGAAGGGAAGTTTTGAAGTTTACTCGTAATTTCGAATTTCTTCTATATTCTTCTGTGGGTCTAGACAAAGTGCAAATTATAATCGCAAACCAGTCGAAAAGTGGTCGTAAAGCCCTATTATTGTATGGAGTTTTGACGGATTCGATTTTCGATTCGATCAAAAAGTGCATTATGCTTAAGGGGGCTGATTGATGATGTCATTGTGGGTGACAGTGGGTGTAATGACAAATCGAGAGGTAGGAATAGACTCCCATGTTATTCGTGTCCGATTTAAACTTGGATAGCATGTTGTTATAATGATTTACTTAACTAAAATTATAGTTTATCGTGATTTGTCAATGTTATTTTAATTATGCGCATTAGTGCAGTTGTTAAGTTTAATGATTAACTTTAATTAGTGGCATGCATCTTACGCAAAAACAGGCCAATATTAGTCATCATCGACTTCACCTTTGAGGTGTTCTTTGCTGTAATTATGTATTTATGTGCTTGTAGCAAGTTAATAACATCCGCGAGGCAACAACCCTTATCAGAGTTGACTAGAAGGTCGCCATCATTCGAATAGCATATCATCAACAATATTATCTAGTGCCAAACCATATGTAATTGCGTGCAAATTGTTAGTTATTAGTTTGGTGATAAAATATTTTTAAGTAAACGTAAATATAGCTTGACGCTTCGGGTCGTAGATCACAAAAAAATTAACATTAAATTATAAACAATAGCAATAAAAACGTCTAAGTAATATCTGTAATTACGTAGACATCGTTTGAGAAGAGATAAAAAAGGTTTTATTCGAATGTATTTAATAATTTCTGCATTATTTCATGCGCCTAACACAAACCCGGAAAGCCTTATTAATTTATAAACAAAATAGACGATAGACTACTTATTCTGTATTATTAGATAAAACTTTATCAAAAACCAATTTAAGATAAGTTAATCTAAAAATCTCTTTTAGTGTCATTTGAATATAAATGTTAAGTAAATCAGTTTACACGTGTCGAAAAAAGTATCTTTTTAGCGCATGACCTTTTATCAGCTATGACATCAGAAATGAACCCCTGTAATTCCAACCAATGAGACCTAAAATAGCATCCATTTCATATCGCGAAGATGTTAACAATTTGAAACGCAGCTACATAGATATTTTTAATTAAATTATGTAAATAAACAGATAATGTCACTACTTATTAGTGAATATCATTGATAGACTTTATGCAACCAAATGTAATTTAAATAAACATGATAAAAAAACCGAAACTACTTAATAATCTACCAGTTAAATTTTAAGGCGGAAACTAGATTTCATTTTGTTTTATTACGAAGTGCATTAAATAAAGTAGGCCTGTCTATTTGAATTTGTTAAACTATTTACAGTTTGTAGTCAGTCATAATATTAGTTTACGCCCGCGTGGAATTTTTCGGTTTTTTATTAACCTATGACACTCAGCAATAAAAAATCGATAGCCTCAGATGGGACTTGAAAGTTTGAAACTCTTTCATGCTACGGCTATGTAATTGAAAGTAATATTGGAGAGCTGCTCGAAATTTTCATTTTTTATCGGAAAATCGTCAGTTTAATAATTTAATCACTTTTTTTTCCAGTGGTAGAACAACACGGAACTTCTACAAGACGGAAAAGACAACTGGGCATAGCAGACGAATGCTGCACAATTGGCTGTACGTGGGAACAGCTCAGCAAGTACTGCTCTATCAGTGCGTAGTGAGTACCAGCCATCTGTAACTCTAGCATGAACAACTTTCGTCTTCGAATCGTTTGCGTATTCGATAAAATTCGACACTCAATCTTCGAATTAAACGATAACGTGACAATTTTGATTCTCAAAATAAGTTTCGTGCAACCACATCTCATACTAAGTTCACTTTACGACACGTTCACAAGGGCGCTGTTGTAGTTTTCTTACTCGTGCTAGCCGTACTGTTATTAGTCGCACATAACCTGCCGCACAAATCAGGAATAGAGACTTACATAAGGCGATGTAAAATGACGCTTACATACTCTCATTTATCTCGGTAAGTATTACGTAAAAATGTTATTATTACTAGTGACTCCGGTAATTGGTATTTGGTATCAAGAGTCCCGAAACTATGACATTTTGACATTGCACGCATTAATTTAATACTCGATTGGTGGAATTATATTCGAGGCTTGATAGTATTTTTCCTCCTTCTTTTTTTGAGTGCCTTGCACTTACTTCTTAGGTAAAAAACAGAGATCAAAGTCTTGGTATCAGACAGCCAGATATCAATATGCAGAATAGGTGAACTGAACTGCAATCGTACTGACATTAATGTGTTCTCTGAAGCACGGATTCATATTTATTTTCTGTCAATCAAGTGTTATCCAATTCTGCATCTAATTGAGCACAATAACACAAATTGATTTTCACTTGCCAATCGAACCTAAGACTTCCGGATCGAGAGAGTCCAATCCCACTCTCCAATCACTAGACCCCGAAGCCGTAACACAATAGGTACTTTGAAAGCTGTATGTTATTAGCGCGACCTACAGGGTGGAAACTATAAGTGATTTTACACGATTATTTCTAAACTATACAAGATATCGAAAAACTGGTTACTGATCCTGAAAGTGCTTTACGAGCTCTTTCAAATGATATCAGAAATACTGGATCTATCAGAAAATTCAATGTTTCCAGCTCCATACTAAATGTTTCCCCTTTACAGTTCTGAATCTCCATTGGACGAGTTGGAAGCGCACATGATCGCGGATCGGTCAGCGGAGAACGCGGGCTCGGCGCCGGCGCTGGTGGGCAACGCGTTCGGTAGCGCGGCGGGGGCGGGGGCGGTGGCGGGAGCGGGAGCGGGAGCGGAGGCGGCGGCGAGCGAGGTGGGGCGGGGGGCGCGCGGGCGCACTGGCGGGTACGGGCGCGCTCGGGGGCGCCGCTGCTGGTGCCGGCGCAAGCGGCGCTCGGGCCGACGGCGATCCTCTCTCATGGGTAACATGGTGTGTCTGTCCTTCGTCGCTGACTTGTTCTCTTTTATTATTTACACAATTTTATAGTTTTTTTTTTATTAACGCCTATTGAACATTATGATCCAGCAAGCATAAAATTATCAGGCCCGTATTATTAATCGATTCAAGCCTGTTTAGGTAATGAACTCACATGCTTGAATCTGAGTATACGTTTTGCACCATGATAGTAAATCGTGGAATTTGAAAATGAAACACTCTTTGCGCCAGAAATTGCGCATTAATGGTGCAATGCTGAAAATATTTACAGTTACTCTTAAAAATATTTTATTTATCCATTTTCCATACAACTTTTTACATTTTATGACATTATTAACATTATAAAAATATCGCTGTGCGCCAAAGAAAACGTACGTGCGTATTGTAATACAATGTTGTACTTGTTATTGAATTGAATTATGAAATTTTTTTGAGAACAAGTAGGTGACGAGTAACTAACCCTCATATTAACGCTATGCATGAATTGAATGACTAATAAATAACATAACAAAATAACAATAATTCATTAAAAATAAATCATTCACGCGTGTTTCAAACGTGGAAAGTAAACCATTATCATTATGTAAAGCATGATGCATGAAAAAGGGAACTAGTATTTTTTTATTTGTATGTGTTCGGACTAGGCAACGAAAAATTTTCTTTGTTTGAATATAAAACAGACGTCCGTTCATCAAGCTAAACATTGCCATTGCGGTGTTTTAAGTAGGTACTTGCAACAAGTTCGATATTGCAGCAAAAATGTAGCCTGATGCGCTGTCTACTGTACCTACCTACAGAAGTTACCTAATACCTACATTACTAAATAGTCTAATCTAACCGTAACACATTTTTTTTTGGGTAACAGGACCTCATAAGAAGTGCAGCGCGCGCTGCGCCCGTGGTGGGCACCGTGTCTCCCCTTCTGACGTGGGGAAGAACCTTGAACACTGACTTGCCGCCGCTGGAGCGAGACCGCTACGCATACGTCGCCATTTACACATAGTCTTAGGATATCTTAAACGGTACAAATGACGTAAGCCGTACGTCCGGCTCGAAGGACCAATCTTTCATTATGGTACCAACCGAGACAGGTGACCAATAAAGACAGGTTCAATCATTCTGTGTTCATTTATATTACATTTATTAGACATAAAATGATTTTTCAAATGTGTTGTAAGGATATGAGATTTAAATCAATTTTAGTGTATTTAATGTTGAGATCTATGTGTTCTGAAACTTACTTCATGATTGTGAACGATGCCCTTAATAACTTTAAAGTTAGGTATACTAAGATGATAGACTTATTTATAAATCGAATAAGTATGTCGAATTATGTGGGCCATTCCATCATTCTGCTAAATTCCTAATGTAAACTTTCCAAATCTTATTTTCTTAGCAATAATAATAGGCTAAACAAGAAGGTTGGTTAGTGTATTATCCAACTGATTAAAAAATGTAAGTAACTAATAATCATATTAATTCTTGTTAGCTAAATACTTTCTAGAAATTTAAATATAAATATTTTACCTAATTGTATTAAAATCATGTAGTTTTTACCCACAGGTTCGTAGTTAGCATATATCATTCTATATTTCTTACCCCATGCTTATATTATAATATTTTTAATTAATAGAAAATAGGACTTTATCTTTCGTAATTATTACCTAAATTACTCATGTTGCAGCCAGATTATTTAGCAACAAATAATAATAAAAAACATACATACATTACAATTGCCATAATTATAGCACTGATAAGGATAATGCTGTGTAGGTAGTGTATCAACATTATAATTCAGTGATATTTTTATATACAAATCACCAAAATCTTATAACACATTGTCACTACACCTTTTGTTCAGTAAGTAGTTTCACTACCATTTCTTACTAATTATTCACCTATCATTTAAGATTTAAAGATCTCTGAAGCATCTGTGATAATTCCAACTGATAAAAATAAAAAAAATCTTATTTATAATTTTAGTAGTACCTAACCATACTAGATTAAAGTATTCCTTGCCTTTGAAAATATTGTGTGTCATGTGTAAATAGAGTTGTAAAACTTAGTATGAATAATGTGACTGACTGTGAGTGCTGTATTAAAACTGTCATTTATTTATCTTCAGTATTTTACTTCACAACATGTAGTTACCTGCTATTTTAGAGTGAAAATGATTTTAGAGAGGAATGTGGCCTAAAAGATATAATACCAAACATTAATTAGATCTGATGATTGGTATAAGGGTAAAAGGTAACAGACAAACAATGTAACTTTCACAGTTATAATATTAGTATTGATAAATTAATGCCTTAACTCACTACATTATTTACAATAAAAGTATTTAGGTACATACAAAAATTCTATTTAAAAAATGCAAACACTAACAACCGAAATTTCTTATTTTAACCGATTGAAATAATATTTTAAAAGCCATGTGTTATTTTTCCTATAATCATTGTCTTTGGATATCTCCGATTCATTTTGAGAGAGATAATATTTTCTCCATATAATATACTTGGCAATGAGAATAACTACTATACCTGAGACTAGTCATAGCGGACCTTTGTCATCTTTGTTTTTATTTGAATCTGAATCATCTTGACTTTGAGAGCTATTTTCCCGAAGTGGAAGTAATTGAAATCTCAAGCTATTACCCTTATTCCTCTTCTGAACCGCCTTGCCTGATGACACTGTGTTTTTCTCAATAACAGAATATATTCTTTCCTGAAATAAGGAAAAAACCAGTGATTATTTCTATGAAAATGTAGTTTAACAGGCATATACAAAGTATTCAATAGCTAAATCAGAACTGTATCACTGGTATTTATTCTAAAATTGCCTACTAATTCACTAAATTTAAATACATACTGAAGTGGTAGCAGCATTGTCTCCATCTCCAGAAATAATGATTTTGACTTCATATTGTTTATCCAACAATTTTATAATTTTCTTCACACCAGTCATCAAGTCATGCTCTCCAATTTTGGACGATATGCTCAGAATCTTTTGTCCTTTGGTTGAATTTTTTTGGCGAGACTCTTGCTTCTCCTTTCTTCTCTCCAATACTTCAGCATGATACTCAGCGTTAGTCATCAACCTTTAAAAACGTAAGTATAATAAGACTATTTGAAAATACTTTAAAATAATTAGAATGATCAAGCAAATTACAACAACCGTAATCTACTCACTTGTACACTGGACGACGAGTTTTAGAATCCTCATCTTGAATTTTAACCAATTTTAATTCTCTTCTAAGAGACAGATTTTCAGCATTCTTTAAATCTGTTATACTAACTGAATTATCAATTCCAATCAATGTAATTCGGTTTTCAAAGGTTTTCCTTTTGGGCACTTCCTTGCCATCAGCAGTTATTCTGGTAGAAATTGATCGAAAATCAAGCAATCTACGCATGCCAAGAAGACTACTTAATTTGTTCATTATTACGCCGGAACTTATTAATAAAAAACAACTAATAGCTTCGAAAAATAATAATTTCTGTGGCGGCGCACAGTGGTCTGAGAATGAAGCTCCCATACCATAGAAACTTAATGTCAGAAATTAATAAATAAAAATATGTATTGTGTTTAGTATACCTCCCTTTGTTTTACTAATATAGTATGAAGAGTGTGAGTAGCTCCATGTGTGAGAAAAAAAATATTTTTATTTTTTTTGTATGGAAAAAAACACTTAAAGTGGATTTTTTTAAAACTGAATAGAACTGAAGGGCTGGTACTCACATGAACTATTGCACCATACATGGCGATCAAGATGACATACAATTCTTGTGCCGTTGGTTGCCGCTTTGCATGTAGCAAGCTTTGGAAATTTTGAATTTTCGGTAGGTGATCTTTCAAGTCTTTGATGTTATTTTATGAAGTTATTCACCGCTTTCAATACGAGAATAGTATATAAATTAATACATATAACTAGGAATATACTAGGGGCATTTTTAAATAATTTTTATTTTGAAAATATAAAAAAAATAAAAGTTTAATCATTGAATGAAGCAACCAACCAGTTGGTAACTGACATTGTTATTAGTTACTAACCTGCTAATGACGTTTTAATGAAAATAATAGAAATCAATATTGATTAAATAAACAACTTAAAAAATCGAACTGCCTAATAGGCTAATAGAATTACATTTGAAATCGGAAATAATTCCTACAAAAGATTTTATTGTTTTAATGGCTTCATTTGTTACCCATTAAGACTATCCTAAGTTTTTGTCATCTTGATCGCCGTGTATGGTGCAATAGCTCATGTGAGTACCAGCCCTTCAGTTCTATTCAGTTTTAAAAAAATCCACTTTGAGTGTTTTTTTCCATACAAAAAAAAATAAAATATTTTTTTTCTCACACATGGAGCTACTCATACTCTTCATACTATATTAGTAAAACAAAGGGAGGTATACTAAACACAATACATATTTTTATTTATTGATTTCTCACATTAAGTTTCTATGGTATGGGAGCTTCATTTTCAGACCACTGTGCGGCGGAGCCTAGCAAAGAAAATTTTATTTTGACATCTAATTAAATAATGTCATTTTTGACATTAAACAGCTGATTTATCCAAAGATAATATAATGAAAGTATGAATAATACATTGGGGTTCTGGATTTTGCTGTATTTGCTTGTGCCACAAGTGGCACATGTTTATGTGGGCAGGCACAAACCTAAAGACGTGACCTAAGGACGTGATAGACATTTAAAATCACTCACAGCACAGATGACACAAATCACTATCAGTGGTTCTAGACAAAGTGCACTTCAATTAAAATCGCAAACCCGTCGAAAAATGGTTGCTGATAAGCCCTTTTTTGTGTGGAGTTTTGACGGATTCGATTTTCGATTCGATTAAAAAGTGCCACTTGCCCACTTGTTGTATCAACTTGTATGGGGGAGAATCTGAAAAAGCCAGTTTTGCACAAGTTTTGATTTCCAATGTTAAAACGACACGACACACCCAGACTCGGCAGAATGGGCACATCCCAAGACGACATTCTTTTTTTCCACCTATAAAAAAAAAGTGCTGTCATTCTTCCTTTCATCATTCATTCATTGAACATCGCTCACGTTCATTCTTTTCTGACTGACATTCGGTCACTTTGATTTGACATCTGTATAAAGCAGAATGGTGTGTAATTTATTTTTCAAATAAATCCCTAAATATTGTGATAATCGTAAGTTTTTCAGGATTTAATACTAAACTTTACATTTATTTATCATTTCAGTCTGCCCACAAGACATTTATTATCAAGCGCAAGCTTGCCAAAAAGCTAAAACAAAACCGTCCCATTCCCCAATGGGTGAGAATGCGCACAGGAAATACTATTCGGTAAGTTTATTTCAGCACATTCCGTCTTATAATCAGTTATATGTCTTATACAATCCGTAGGTTAGGAATCAACTAGTATAATTTGATCAAATTGCATTGCATTGTTTGTTTGTTTAAAGAAATAATGACGAAGGTACCTACACTAGGATCACCCTGTCTCGCTCATTTTGTTCTTCCGATACATTTTTATTATTACTGTTACTTACGTTATTAAAACATGTTATCTTTTGACTTTGATGTTTATTGTCTTAGATACTTCCAATGTTTATTGAGTGCACTTGATGTAAATAATACAAATGCCTATAATATTTTAGGTTAGATTCCGAACCGAACTATCTTGATCCTTTTAAACAATAATTTTAGTTACTAATTACTAGAATCGTACTCGCTGTCAATATATCTGATATTATTTTTTGTATCTAGTTCATGTTCATGTGTGTTACACAAAACCTAGGCTGGGTTGTTGCACCATCTTACTTTGACTTTGTTAACGTCAAAAATGTGTCAAAATCCATACAAAAAGCACTGGTTATTGTTACAGTTACTGTTAAAGTTAGGACCAACTGTTAGGTGGCCTAAGTTTGAAATGGTATGCCACCTATGTTGTTTAGAATTGATGTAGGATGGTAATGGTGAAATTTTCAAATTGGTCCCATTGTTTCAGAGCCTATTCAATACAAATTTCAAATCTTTCCTCTTTTATTTATTAGAGTAGAGACCAGATATACATAATTAATTACTCAAATTCATATATGTATTAACAAAATTTAATACTCATGATTACTACTATAGACTAAAAATCCTTGCCAATTGATCTTGAAGAGATTGTAACCAGCAGGGTTGTTATGGATATTTTATACGTAACTGAAACTTTCGGATATCTGAAACAAAAAAATATCCGAAACAGTAACCTTTATAATGCCATTTAGTATCAATTTTTGTTACTTTTTATTTGATGTAAAGATATACATAATTAATTACTCAAATTCATATGTATTAACAAAATTTAATACTCATGATTACTACTATAGACTAAAAATCCTTGCCAATTGATCTTGAAGAGATTGTAACCAGCAGGGATGTTATGGATATTTTATACGTAACTGAAACTTTCGGATATCTGAAACAAAAAATATACGAAACCGTCACCGATTCAATAGTTTCGGATGTAGGCAGTTTAAATTGTTTTTTTTATTTACCTACCTACCTACCTTATAATGCCATTTAGTATCCATTTTTATTACTTTTTATTTGATGTAAAGTGTGCGGCCATGAATAAACCGTGTTGGACAACTATTGCAAATTGCATTCTAAAGCACAGATGTCCGAAATAAAAAAATATCTGTAACCGAAACCGGTATAATATTATTACTATATCTGTAACCGTATCCATAACCGAAACTACATAACATATCCATAACATCCCTAGAAACCAGCATGCACAAGTAACCTAAAAAAAATCTTTTTCAGGTACAATGCTAAGAGGCGTCACTGGAGGAGAACCAAGCTCAAGCTGTAAGCCTGTAATGTACTGTATGTAAGCTAAAATAAAAACACATTCTCCAGTCTTTTTTTGTTTAAATTTTTACCTCATTTTTTCTTCCACATCAACAAGAATAAAATTCAAATGTTCATTCATAAATTGAAACAATGATGCCAATTAACCCATTAACGCCCGCCGTACAATAAATAGTACACAACTTTAAGTTACGATAAATCTGGTTTAATGAGTATTTTTACCCTGGAAATAATTACAATAGGTAAACAAAGGTCTATGCATTATATCCTGAGATGAAACATACCATAATTATACAATCTTAAGGGGGTATTTTGCGATTCCGTTTCAGTGATTTTTTCATGTCTTCTAGTGGGTACTTGATAATTTTTTATGCAAGGTTTAAGTTACACAAAATACCAAATAAGTTGTTTGTGTATTAGCTAACAACATATCCTAATAAAAAATACATAGAAAAGTTCATTTCATGGCTTGAGATTTTATTAATCTAAGTTTCATGGAAAGTTTTTCATGCTATAACTCCCAAAGTGATGCTGTACAAACTTTAGTACAATGGGCGCTTGACACGTTACGTAAAATAGTACAGTAACGACATTATTATTAGAGTGTTTACTTATTTCTGCATCTATACTTCTATACTTCTATACTAATATTATAAAGCTGAAGTTGTGGAACATGATGCTCAACCACCATAAGGAGTTAGAGCATTTAATTTACACAATCTTGGTTTGTCTATATATACTGGGCAGGGTAAAAAACTTCGTCATCGCGATGCAGGATTGTATGCGCGGTGGAGATTGCCATAGTAAGATCGTAACAGCGCCATCTGTTGGTACGGTTTGTAGTGGCGCAATTTATTAATCACAGTTTGTTTATTTGGTTGAACGCGCTAATCTCAGGAACTACTGGACCAATTTGAAAAATTCTTTTTGTGTTGGATAGTCCGTTAATCCATGAAGGCTTTAGGCTATATATCATCACGCTAAGACCACTAGGAGCGGAGCACCAATGAAGAATGTTTCAAATCAGTGATTTTTTTCCTTTTGAGAGCTGACGCTGCGTAAACGGTTAAAGTTTCGCATAAATTATGTATGATAGGATTTTCCCCTTTAAAAGTTCTACAAAAAAGTCCGCTACAGCATATGTCTATCTTTTATGGTTGGCTCACTGTAACCTTTTTGTCTGGATGTCTGGATGTTTGTTCCTCTTTCACGCAAAAACTAATAAACGGATTTTGTTGAAACTTTACAGTATTATTATTTATAACCCAGGCTAATATATAGTCATTTGTATCTTATAATACTTGCTATGTTTCTCTAAAACTTTGTATGGGCCTTCGTATGGTGGTGTCAATGGTCTTTTTACAGCATCAGTTCGTACGAAAACATAATCACAGGAATCCATGTCGGGATGAATGTATGGTTTGTGCTTAGAGTGGTGATCACATTTGATTGGTGTCAGGTTTTCCATGGTTCTTTTTAAATCGTTGGTGTAGTTTTCTGGAGACTTGTCTTGCTTTTTCGGCTCGAAAAATACTCCTGGTATGCGGATATTGGTTCCATACAGCATTTGCGCTGGGCTGACGTTGTCACCTTCTCGAATCGCGGCTCTCAAGCCTAATAAAACGATTGGTAATTCTGTACTCCAATGTATCGTATTACCACGGGCTATGATGGCCGCTTTCATGGTTCTGTGCCATCTTTCTATCATGCCATTGGCTTGTGGGTGGTAACTTGTTGTCCTTATCTTCTTAATTCCTAACAGCTTGGTGAGAGAGATAAACAGGTCAGATTCAAACTGTCTTCCTTGATCTGACGTAATCACTGCGGGGCATCCGAAACGAGCAATCCAAGTGCTCACGAACGCTTTTGCCACGGTTTCCGCCGTGATCTCTGGAACGGGTACAGCTTCTGGCCATCTTGTCGCTCTGTCTATCATAGTGATGATGTATTTATTACTGTTTGACTCAGGAAGCGGGCCGACGATGTCTATGTGCACGTGATCTAAACGTGTTGTGGACGGAAATGTGCCTATAGGTGACGTGTTGTGACGCGATACTTTGCTTTTTTGACACGCCACACATGTCTTTGCCCATTGTCCAATGTCTGCGTTCATGTTTGGCCAAAAGTAATGTTTAGTGATGAGTTTTCTAGTTGATCTTACGCCTGGATGTGTTAAGTTGTGCATGGTGTCGAAGATGTCTTTACGTAGCTTCTTCGGCACGTACGGGCGAAGGTTTTCCGTGGAGTTATCACAATATATTTTTCTCTCATTTCCTAGTGTGATAGCTTTCAATTTGTTGTTGTTTTGGTTTATCAGCTGATGGAGTTCCGGTTCGGATTGCATGTCTGCTATCTCGTTCCAATCGACAGGTGAAGGACAGTCTATTTGTGCGATTCTTGATAATGCGTCAGCGACCGGGTTCTGGTTACCGGCTAGGTNTTACGCGTCGTGTCACAACGCTTATAATAAAAATGTACGAGCACTTGCACAAAATAGTTGTTACAACCAACCTTTTGTTGGGTCTAATTCTCGTCACTACACTGCACAACTTAAAATAATTACGTTTTTTGTCGGTAAAAACGTCCTGGTGACGTCACTTAAGCATTTTTCTTATACTGCGTGCGGTCGTTGCGCGTGCGCACAAAGGAATGAGACCGCTCGGACACCGAGCCCACAGCGTGGTAGGGGTGGGGTTGCCCGCTCTTTTGTTTTTTAATACTACTACGCTGAATATTGTGTGCGGATTGGGTTGTCGTACAGGGGTACTACATGGTAAAATAAATCTCGGAGGCGAAAGCAGGATAATTACTGTTTTTACAGGATATACCTCTTAGTTTAAAAGTTATTACGTTTTCTTTACAATAAGTAATTGGAAGAAAAAAAATCTATAACAAATTAAAAAAAAAACTCAAAAAATTTTTGACCTGTTTTTTGTCGATAAAAATAGATCTAGTTTCACCTAATTTCATATGTGCACTTTATCGTAACTCACACTGTATTAATTTATATAGAATCGGATCTAATCAAGGATTACGAAAACAGCAGCTTTTACGATCGAGTCATTAACTGCTTAGCTGAAAGTTCTCCTGTTTTAAAAAACATGTTGATTGGCTAGCTTTATATTATTATTTGTTATTAGTAAATACCTACTTATTATTTTACTTTATTTTAGTATTGTAATAATTTTTTTACAGTTTGTTTATCTCAATTTGTGTATCTCAGTATTTTTCGATAGTATCCCATCACAATGATCTAGTCTCGGGCCTCGGGATTGCGATCAGCCACCCGGGCCCTTCCGGCCCAGTCCGACCCTGGTAGAGTGTTGGTAGTATGAGCTCACCTGACAAACGGCCTGACATCTCCCTCGTTAGCGGTCTGTAGATGCTGGTAGTAAAGATGGCGGTGCTGTTTGGCGATGATGACGGGCGGGAAGCCGGCCTGCATGAGTAGCAAGTTCATGAGAAGCCGCGACGTGCGCCCGTTGCCGTCCACGAACGGGTGGATGTGGACTAACTTGTAGTGCACTAGCGCTGCGTATCTGGAATGGGAAATGGATTAAAATCTATATAAAAGCGAAAGGTCACTGACTGACTGACTCATTAATTTCGTTGCGGGTCCAATGACAGTTTAACTTTCCCCCGGGACAAACTTGACCTTCATTGGTTGGGTTTTTGTGGCGGTCAAGCTGTAGATCCTGGCTACACAGGAGTTGCAGTGGTAGGAATAGTCCCGTGACTGACTGACTCACTCCCTCATCACGAAATCTCAGAAACTACAAGTGCTAGGAGTCTCAAATTTTGCATGGGGGTTCCTTTTAGAACGTAGGTGCTCACTAAGACGGGATTTTACAAAACTCCACCCCTAAGGGAGTAAAACGGGATCCACGCGTACGAAGTCGCTTAGTGTAAGTGTACTATACTTAGAGCTGTTTTATGAATCGACACATATAGCACAGTAGATATATGAGCTAAAGCAGTACGGAAACTTAGCCCTTTCGGCGAGTTAAATACCTACACTTCAACTGAGTGTTAGGGTTGGCACTCTTAATCTTTATAAAATTAATAAGGTTCTGACTTACTTATTTATTAAAACGCTTATTTAGGTTTTTAATTATCAAATACCTAATGGAATAAATTAATTGACTAAGTAGTTAACAAAAAAATAAAACGTTAATTAGGTTCTATAATGATCGAATACATAATCGAATAAATTGATTATAATAAGTACTATTAGAGGCCGGTAGAAGATATTCTATTCTCATAAATAAAATACCGGATACTTACTTTCACATAGCTATTGCCTCATTTTAAATACAGTTCATCACTTAGTACAAAAGCGCGCGGAGCAAATTACTTTATCAAATAGAACACATCATAAATTGTTAAAAAGCGTAATTACGTAATTTAAAAAGAATATTACAAAATCAGATGTAAGCACTTTATTTAAAAAGTAATATTTAATCATTTTTACAATTCAGAATTATTACGAAGTTTAAAAAATGAAAGTTCTGGTTTTGAAGATACCGAGTTCAAGCAGCCGTATACTACGCAATACACTCGTGGCATGTTTTTTAAAAATACAGCGGACAGTGCATGCAATAAAATTATTATTAAAAACACAACGCGCGCGACACTCGCGACGGATGGACTGCGAGGTTCGCTTAGAGCTCGTGTAAAGCGTGCGTCTGTGTGCGTGACTCTGATTTCGAGCGTTTGTATGAAGCTTCCGTACTGTTTGATTTATCTACTGTGCATATAGGGTTGCCAGGTCCAAAATCACAAAAGCCGGACTTTGTGCTTCATTTGGCCGGACATTGTACCCTAAAAGCCGGACATGTGCAATTAGTGTCAGCTCATCAGTGAGTACTATCATCGGTCACCAACATCCTGATGCGTGCGCTTCATTTATGATTCTGTGGCTCGACTTTCGCCTGGCGCGGCAACAAAATAAAAAGCCTAACAAAAGCCGGACAGGCCGGACAAGGCAATATTTGGCCGGACAAGTCCCTAAAAAGCCAAACATGTCCGGCTAAAGCCGGACGCCTGGCAACCCTAGACACATAACTTAAATCTTGGGTTTTGCATTTGTGTGGAAAAATTAACTATTGTCGTAAATAAATTCGTTCAGAGTCGTTGCAGTTTATTATTATTCTTGGATAGCAACAGCAGCTTTACTTTATTCTTATTCTTGGATAGAAATATTTGTCGAAAGTGGCAACACTGTCAGATGGTTAGAAGAACTCGCGGCCAATGGCCGTGATTCCAAACTAGAATAAAAAAAATTGCGAAACTTTTCTACTACCCCACAGAACACATAGTCCAGGGTGCGGAAACTTCCATACAACGGTCATCGAAGTGAAACTTGCTTCCAAACAGCGACATCGGTGGATAAATTCAAATACTTTTTTTAACTACCCTAAAACGCTCTAGATGTCGCTGCTCCTGTTTCCTTCATATTTACATTTTTTTCTTAATTAAAATATATTTGAGAATATTGTTAATTACAATGTGAAAACTTTTTTTTAATGAAATTAATTTGTTTTAATTTAAAACTGAACGGTGACATTTTTTGTTATAATTTACACAATAGAGTAGTAGAAATTACTATTTAACATATGGCAACTTTGTTTTTCCTCCAAAATGGCCGGTGTTGTTTTTGTTATGTTAAATGCATTCTTGTTTTCTTAGCCATCATTTAAGTTTTCTGTGGCCCTATTAAAGTATTGAAGAGTCGTCGAGTCAAATTCAAGTTCATTCCTTCGTACCTGCTGCTGTTCTNAGAATATCTACAAATAATATTTAAAAATATACTTAAAATTAAAAATAATTATAATGACATAGCTGATTTAACATGCCAATAATTTGACCTACATGAATAATAAAAAAAGTTCTAGAATAGAGTATCGATAAGATAAAAAATGTTGTTTTCATACATTAAACAAATCTATTTTTCTCGACAATCCTGCTAGGTGTAAGCATCTAACAAGTACAATAATTTATGCCACTAATAAGGTTTTAAATGGCATAAGTTTTGTAGCTGTACAAAGAACTTAGTACCTGTACCAACCCTTCATACAAAGTGGTTGTTCAACAATGAAAGTGATTTTTTTTATTGTCCTGCATATTATAAATTATATAAAATAAGTAAACGATATGTTTTATTTAATAAACCGTTATTATCTTGCTAAAAAGTTGATAAATTTGCAAAAATGCATTGTATAATTACCATGTTTCATTCCGCTACCGTTATCCACATTTTTTTTTATAAGTCCGAGCTTTACCTGAGAACCAAGTGACGTACACTAATCTTGGGAGCCGCGCGGGTCAGCTTATATGAGAATTATTGAAGAAATGCTGTCCATCGGCTCAATACAGAGGTTTAAACATTGGTCTGACTCGCGGTCATCATTGTCCGACGCGGCCCGAACGGAAAGTTAAAGTGTCGCCCATCATTGTCCCCCATGGCCCGAACGGAACAGTGCCATTTTTAGGCTGGCAGCGAAGGTGTTAACCCGCTGATATAGGTCTGTAGGTAACGGACGACATTTTGAATAAACGGGATGACCTTGGGTGATAATTTGATGTCTGACGTCGTGTTTGGGCTCGGAGAGGGCGTTCAGTGGTTTAGTAACGTTCGGGTACTTTTCCAATAAGTCAGCATACGGTTCAGCCAATTTTATTGTACGAAGTGTTGGTATGTTTGACTGAATGACTTTTCCTGGTGTCAAAAGTCCTGTTTTACCGTCGATGAGCTTTTTATTTCGTACGTCAACCAAAATGTTGTGGTGTTCTAGAAAATCTGCACCTAGAATCGGTTGCGTAATGTCTGCCACAACAAATGTCCATCGGTAAGGTCGTCTCATATTTAAATCTAGCGTCAGCGTTTTCTCGCCGTAGGTTTTTATTTCGGTTCCGTTCGCAGCGTATAATTTGTATGTCGAATTTTGTATGTTGCCTGTCTCACGTTTAGGCAGAACGGAGATATTGGCGCCGGTGTCTACCAGGAAGCGAAACCCACTTTTTCGGTCGGTTATGCATAGGCGGTTAGACGGGAGTATAGCGCTGACGACCGCCTCTGTCAACGCTGATTCTAGTTTTCCGACGGCTTTTTCCAGTTGCATGGTTTGACACAATTTCGTGCTCGATTTCTATAGCGCAGGTGATACTTGCATAACCATTTCGGGTTGTCTGGTGTTATTCTCGAGCGAGATTGTGATCTCGAACGACTTCGATCTCTGTAGTTGGAGCGGTTGCTGTTATTGTCACTGACTTGAGCTCGTAGGGCAGCTACTTCTAAGGACAGCTTATTCATTTGCGCCAGCAGCTCTATCATAACCGAAGGTTGGCTGGTGGATACTTCACATATGTCGCCTCTGCTATTTTCCACGATTTTATCAGCAATTCCAGCGAGGTTATCGAATTGTTGATCTTGACTGACGGTAAGGACAGCGCGAACGTGAGGTGGAAGTCTTGAAGTCCATAAGTTAAGCAGCGTTTTATCGGGAACGTTTGTATTTTTGGCGAGCTCTTTCATACGGCGTAGTAGTTGAGATGGTTTTTGATCGCCTAACTCCATTTCACTCACTAGTTTTTGAAACTGCCGTTCTTCTGACTCTTCATATACCGATAGAAGTCTGTTCTTTAAGGTGTTGTATTTGTCAGTGGTTGGGGGTNAAATACCTAATGGAATAAATTAATTGACTAAGTAGTTAACAAAAAAATAAAACGTTAATTAGGTTCTATAATGATCGAATACATAATCGAATAAATTGATTATAATAAGTACTATTAGAGGCCGGTAGAAGATATTCTATTCTCATAAATAAAATACCGGATACTTACTTTCACATAGCTATTGCCTCATTTTAAATACAGTTCATCACTTAGTACAAAAGCGCGCGGAGCAAATTACTTTATCAAATAGAACACATCATAAATTGTTAAAAAGCGTAATTACGTAATTTAAAAAGAATATTACAAAATCAGATGTAAGCACTTTATTTAAAAAGTAATATTTAATCATTTTTACAATTCAGAATTATTACGAAGTTTAAAAAATGAAAGTTCTGGTTTTGAAGATACCGAGTTCAAGCAGCCGTATACTACGCAATACACTCGTGGCATGTTTTTTAAAAATACAGCGGACAGTGCATGCAATAAAATTATTATTAAAAACACAACGCGCGCGACACTCGCGACGGATGGACTGCGAGGTTCGCTTAGAGCTCGTGTAAAGCGTGCGTCTGTGTGCGTGACTCTGATTTCGAGCGTTTGTATGAAGCTTCCGTACTGTTTGATTTATCTACTGTGCATATAGGGTTGCCAGGTCCAAAATCACAAAAGCCGGACTTTGTGCTTCATTTGGCCGGACATTGTACCCTAAAAGCCGGACATGTGCAATTAGTGTCAGCTCATCAGTGAGTACTATCATCGGTCACCAACATCCTGATGCGTGCGCTTCATTTATGATTCTGTGGCTCGACTTTCGCCTGGCGCGGCAACAAAATAAAAAGCCTAACAAAAGCCGGACAGGCCGGAC